TCTGTAGTGTGCTGTGTTGCCAGATGGTTTTGGTCAACTGTAGGCTAGTATAAGTGTTTAAGCATTTTTTAGGTAGGCTAGGCTAAGTTATGATGCTCTGCAAGACTGGTGCATTAAATGCACTTTAAACTGATAACATTTTCATGTTATAAAGGGTTTATCAGGACATGACCACATCATGTATCAAAGAACGTCTCTACTATCTTGAATTTTTACAACAATAGTACCAGGCTGACATTCTATTTTTATTTAACAATTGAGAAAACTGAGGCTCAGGTGTAAAGTGATGCCCTCAAGACTAGTATCATGGAGTTGAGATTTGAAACTACATTAATATCATTCCAAAGTCTCTGCTTATTCCACTAAAAAAACCTCGTTCTATGTGTACACAGCTTTGCATTCTTTTTATTAGCAAGAATGAGAAAACTTAGTTTCTATTTCTCAGGCTTTTGTTATCTAAACCCATCTTTTATAGTCTATAAGCCATTCTTGTCAGGGTTGGAATTAATTTATCTGGGTCTGAAAACCTGAACTCTCTTCAAAGCGCCAGGTACTCCACATTTTCACTTACCTTGCATTTCAGTTCCTTTATTATTATTATTAAATTCATTCTACTATTTACAATTTGGATAACCTTGAATGAGTCAACTAGCACACATTATTGTGTTAAACATTTATGCTTTATTTCTAAACATGCTTTTTTTTCCTATCAACCATTTCTTCCTGCTATCGCTAGATAAAGTACTTTGAACAGTATTGCCTATTGACCTTATGGACTGGAGCAATTGACAAACATTCAGACTCACAGACTATATACTTTCTTTTAGGATATGTTAGTGATAATCTGGCCATTTCAGGGAATTTGATTTACTTCAAAACTTGTAACACAGATAGTAATATTCGTAACTCCAGCATCACTTTATTGGCCACAGAAGTTCCAGTTTTTAAATCATTCCAATTTATTTAACAGAACTGTAGACATATTGACCTGTATGTAATAACTTATATATGCTTGTATATTTTATGAAAAGGAAATCTTCATTGATCCAACCTAAAAAGTCCTCTCAATATCAATTAAATTGCCTTTCCAGAAACATAAACAAAAAGTATATTTAGCACAAGAAAAGTTTATTTTTTATTTAGACTAAGTTCTAAAAAAGGCAGTAAGTTTGGCTGTTCTAACTCTTCTCCATCTATTATTGTACTGTCCCTTGGAGAGTAACTCCTTCCAATACATCACAATCTGGATTATTTCATTACATGAAAATATGTACTCAACTGTTGTTATATTTTATTTAATTACATAACACTTCAAAAAATTTGCTTTGGCTTAATCTTTTCCTTGAGAATGTTAATTTTCTTTCACAGTATAAATCAGTTTGAGAATCACCATGTGCTTGAATAAAGTGAATAGTACGCAAATGAAAATATCAAAGTGTCTTTTGCAGTAAATGAGCAGGAGAAATATTGTCCAGAAATAAAGAAACTGAGCCATGGTATAAGAATGGCAGAACTTGGAGATCATCTCATCTTGTAGACAAGGAAATTAAGGACAAGAAAGATGAAATGACTCACTCAAGTAACAGGACATGTTCATTACTGAGCCATGAAGAGAACACATGTTCTACATAAGCTGTTTAAACCACTATATTACTAATTTTTAACACTCATTGTGCATTTGAATTGATTGGAAAGCTCTTAAAAATACAGATGTCTGGGCCTCATCTCCAAGGATTTTGATTCAATTCATTGGGAATGGGGTCAAGTCATCTGTATTTCTTAAGCCACTACCCCGTCACCTGCTTCAGCTATCTAGGAAGAATGAGAACTACCAAACTAGATTATGCTGTCTTTCTAACATTTTGGACATAAATCACTCCCTTTGAAGCTACATTAATGGAGATGTCCATTCTCCTTAATGAATCTAATAAGAGCTTCACTTGATTGAGTGTATTAAAGAAGGTACTACACAAATGGCATGCTTATAAAGGAATGTTGAATTGTTGTCCCAGACGTTTAGCCTTCAGTTTAAGATTCAGAGAATCATGGATTCATGAATCTCCATATTTTAAGGGAATTAATAGTTGTTAAATGTAAAATGTGCTTCAGGAAGCCATCACTGAACCTCCATCCCTCCAGTCTGGCTTAGATACCCTTCCTATGTCCTTTCATAGCACTCTGGGATTAGATCTGTAATAGCAGTTACCACGTTTCATATAATTTATTTACTTTTGCCTATTTCTCCCACTAGGCTATGAGAAAAACAAGGGAAGAATTCTGTTATTTTTGTATTTTCAAAATTCAGCATCTTTTCTGGCACAAATTAAATACAGATTAAACTGAACTAAATTTGGAGTATTAAAAGAACAATATTATAACTAGTTTATGAAATAACAGAGAAAGAGTTTTCCAATCCAGAGTAGACAAAGATAATAGAAACAAGTCTCATGTGCCAGTAGGTCCAAAGTATGGATGCCTCTTTTATTCTCATAAGGAAAAGCTAAGATGTGCATCAAGTTCTTGTACTAGTAGGCTTACATATATTGTCTCCTTACATGTTCACAAAAATCTTCAAAAGTAGTTTTTATTACTTCTGATTATCATGTATATAAATGGATGCTTAGATAAACTGGTTAATTAATTAATCTGCCCATAGTTATTCAGATAGTATGTGATAGAGGCAAATTTCAAGGTCAGGTTTTTCTGGCTCTGCAACCTTGCTTTTTTGATTACTCTTAAAACTTTGCCTTTTTATTAAGTTCATTTATTATTTTCTATCCAAGAGTAAAATTCCAGAGAAAATAAGTTTGTTCAAAATTTTTAAGCCTGTTTCTTGTAATGCTGAATCCCCAGTGCTTGAACAGCCCACACACAGTAAATCCTGAAAAAATATTGTTGAATCAGTAACAAATGAATGACTAAGATTTGGATTTACTTTTAACCAATAGTTCCATTTACTCCTAGTAATGTTTATTCCTCTCTATCACATGTACAAATTTCTTATACATAGATTGTCACTAATAATAGATTTTCAAGTCCCATCCTATAAATTTTACCTTTGCTTTTTATATCTTATGAGTCTTAGACTCTGTTGATAAATGGAGGAGTTACTGAACTGAAACAGTGCTTTCTTGAAAATAGAAATCTGTTGCTTTACTATAAGAAACATTAAAGAGATCCTAACTCATGAGTGTGAACCACACTGTCTGAAGTCCATGTTACTATAGGTTGCCCATAGAATTAGACATTTGCCTACAAAAAGACTCGAGTCAGAATTGCATCAAAATTGCCTGGCTGACCTCTTCAGTGCAAACATTAGTGGCTGAGTTAATTCCCACCTACCTCTTCCACTAGGTGTTTGTCTCAAATATTGCTCTGTTCCAGCTTTGTGACTCCCTTCTCACCTGGCCACTTGTTATAAAGGACTCAGGCACTTTGTATCCCAGAAAAGAAGCCCATCAAAAGCTGGATAAGATATCAGGCTCTGGCCCAGTAGACTGGAACTCAAAGCCATTACTTTTCTTTGAGAGGAAATGGGATTATGAGCTCCTTGTGAGAAGAGTCATAGTCTTACTTATCATTTCCAAAGAAACTTCTGTATTCCAAGTGGTACACAGAAGCCAGGATTTATTATGAATCATGAGATCCTAAAATTTAATAGAAGCAGAAAGTTAAAGGTCCACTTAAGAGGCAACATATGAAATTATTGGTTGTGGCAGGACCACAAGAACACAAATTTAAATTTTGACTACATTCTCAGCTTCACAAAATGCAAATTGAGAACTGGAGGACAAGCTAAGCTATTAAACACTATTTGTGTATAACTTGTTTATGTCAATATTGGCTCAGGAATTATATGGGATATTCTTACAGTTATGGTCAATTAGTAAGCTGAACTGTGGGGAGCTGGAGAAGTTAGAATAGAGAAAAGACGGGCACTGACTAAGCTTCTGTACTCTAAAGTAAATCTAAGAATGCTCACAGGTATAAGGGTTTTTATCTTTGTATATTGAATCTTCAGGAAGCAAGGTCCAAGGCATATTTTAATGTTCATGACAAGAACATTATATCCTCTCTTAATTCCTTGAGCAGTGGTTTGTTCAACTTTAAGAGGTCCTTCACATTTCTTATTAGCTGTATTCTGAGGTATTTTATTTCCTTGTAGCAATTGTAAATGGGAGTTCACTCATGATTTGGCTTTCTGCTTGCCTATTGTTGGTGTAAAGGAATGCTTGTGATTTCTGAACATTGATTTTGTATCCTGAGACTTTACTGAAGGTGATTATCAGTAAGTTTTGGGGCTGAGATGATTGGGTTTTCTTAGTATAAAATTGTGTCACCTGCAAACAAAGACAGCTTGAGTTCCTGTCTTCCTATTGAATATCCATTATTTATTTCTCTTGCCTGATTGCCCTGACTAGAACTTCCAATATTATGTTGAATAGGAGTGGTGAGAGAGGGCATCCGTGTCTTGTGCTGGTTTTCAAATGGAATGCTTCCAGCTTTTGCCCATTCAATATGATATTGACTGTGCATTTGTCGTAAATAGCTCTTTTTATTTTGAGATATGTTCCATCAATACATAGTTTACTGAAAGTTTTTAACATGCAGGTATGTTGAATTTTATCAAGGGCCTTTCCTGTACCTATTGAGATAATCATTTGTCATTGGTCCTGTCTATGTGATGGATTACATTTACTGATTTGCATATGTTGAACCAGGTTTGTATCCCTGGGATGAAGCTGACGATTGTGGTGGATAAGTTTTTTGATGAACTGCTGGTTTCACTTTGCCAGTATTACATTGAGGATATTTCCATTGATGTACATCAGGAATATTGGCCTGAAGTTTTCTGTTTTTGTTGCGTCTGGGAAAACTGGCTAGCCGTGTGCAGAAAAGTGAAATTGGACCTATTTCTTACACCTTGTACAAAATTTAACTCAAGGTGGATTAAAGACTAAAATGTAAAATGGAAAACCATAAAAAACCTAGAAGGAAACCTAGGCAATACCATTCAGGACATAGGCATGGACAAAGACTTCATGACTAAAATACCAAAAGCAACTGCAACAAAAGCCAAAATTGACAAATGGGATCTAATTAAACTAAAGAGTTTCTACACAGCAAAATAAACTATCATCAGAGTGAACATGCAGCCTACAGAATGAGAGAAAATTTTTGCAATCTACCCATCTGACAACTCTCCAATATCCAGACTCTAAAAGAAACTTAAACAAATTTACAAAACAAAACAAAACAACCCCACCAAAAAGTGGGTGAAGGCTACGAACAGGCACTTCTCTAAAGAAGACATTTATGTGGCCAAAAAACATATGAAAGAAAGCTCATCATCACTGGTCTTTAGAGAAATGCAAATCAAAACTACAATGAGATACCATCTCACGCCAGTCAGAAGGGCGATTATAGAAAAGTCAGTAAACAACAGATGCTACCTAGGCTGTGGAGAAATAGGAATGCTTTTATAACATTGGTGGGAGTCTAAATTAGTTCAACCATTGCAGAGGACAGTGTGGCGATTCCTTAAGGTATGAACACGGCGATGGAGGAATATCACATGCTGGGGCCTATCAGGGGGTGGGGGGCAAGGGTAGGTAGAGCATTAGGACAAATACCTAATGCATGTGGGGCTTAAAACCTAGATGAAGGGTTGATAGGTGGAGCAAACCACCATGGCAAATTTATACCTATGTAGCAAACCTCACATTCTGCACATGTATTCCGGAAGATAAAGTAAAATTAAAAATAAATAAGTAAATAAAATTTAAAAGAAAAACTATTGGAACTGATAAAAACATTCAGTAAAGCTGCAGGATACAACATTAACATACAGAAGGCAGTAGCATTTCTAAATGCCAAGAGAAAACAATCTGAAAAAGAAATCTAATAAGTAATTTCATTTATCATATTTGCAAATCAAATTAATCACAGATTGGAGTATTATTAAAATGTCCATACTACCTAAAGCAATCTACAGATTTAACGCAATCCCTATCAAAATGCCAAGGACTGTCTTCACAGAAATAAAAATAATGCTAAAATTTATATGGAACCACAAAAGACCCAGAGTAGTCAAATGTATTCTAAGAAAAAAGAACAAAACTGGAGGAATCACATTGCCTGACTGCAAATTATATTACAGAGCTATCTTAAAAAACTTGCTACTGGCATAAAAACAGAAACATAGACCTATGGAACAGAATGCAGAATATAGAGACAAACACACATACTTATAGTAAACTCATTTTTTACGAAAGTGCCTAGAACATACACTGGGGAAAGATAGTCTCTTCAATAAATGGTGCTGGGAAAACTGGATAAGCATATGCAGAAGAGTGAAACTAGACCCCTATATCCCACCATATACAAAAATAAAAAAAAAGTAAACTGAAAACTCAAATTTAATACCTCAAACTATGAACTAGTATAAGGAAATTTTGGGTGAAACCTTCAAGACATTGGTCTGGGCAAAAATTTCTTGAGCAATATACCACAAGCACAGGCAACCAAAACAAAAATGGACAAATGGATTCACATCAAGTTAAAAAGCTTTTGCACAGCAAAGGAAACTATCAGCAAAGTGAAAAGACAACCTACAAAATGGGCAAAATATTTGTAAACTACCTATCTGACAAGAGATTAATAACCAGAATATATAAGGAGCTCAAACATCTCTATAGGAAAAAAATCTAATAATGTAATTAAAAATGGGCAAAATATTTGAATAGACATATTTTTATTTGTCTATTCCAATAAATGTCAAGCAAACACACCTACAGTGAACTCACAAATGGTGAAACACAACTATAGTGAACAAACACTTGTTTGTCTTCTGTTTTGATAGAAAAACAGATCCCAAACATGTGAATAGGTACTCAACATCATTGATCACCAGAGAAAAGCACATCAAAGCTACAATGAGGGAAGTCCACTGTGTCAGTGCAGATACTACTGAGTCCAGGGCCTGGTGGCTAGACTGGTTCTCTCTTTTCCAATCGGAGGCCGATGCTGCAAACCTGCTCCACCAGATCCTCCCTTTTTCTATTTATTAGAGCTGGAGGTATTGGAGCAGCCCTGTATCTCTTGCATCTGGCATTGTTCAATCCAGATGTTTGTTGGGATAGAAAAAATAACCCAGAACCCTGGAACAAACTGTGTCCCAATGATAAATACAAGTTCTACTCAGTGAATGTAGATGATAACAAACTGAAGAAAGAACGTCTGGATTTCTAAAGGAAATATGTCACTATAAAGCTGCTTTAAAATGAAGGTCTTCCAGAAGTCATCTGCACAATTTTCCACTTAACTAGGAAATATTTCTCCTCTAAATGCATGAAATCATGTTGAAGTAATCTATTTGAGATTACACTGATTAATAAATAATGGAAACTTGAAAAAAAACTACAATGAGATGTCATCTCACCCCAGTTAAAATGGCTTATATCCAAAACATAGGCAATAACAAATAGTGGCAAGGACGTGGAGAAAATGGAACGCTAGTAGACTGTTGGTGGGAATGTAACTTAGTACAAGCACTATGGAGAACAGTTCTGAGGTTTCTCAAAGAACTAAAAAGAGAGCTTCCATATGATCAAGAAATTCCACTCTTGTATATATACCCCAAAGAAAGAAAATCAGTATATCTCTCAAAGAGATATTTATACTCCTATGTTTTATGCAGCACTGTTTACAATAACTCAGATTTGGAAGTAAGCTAAGTGTCCACCAACAAATATATAAAGAAAATGTGGTACATATACATAATGGAGCACTATTCAGCCATAAAAAGTATGACATTTTGTCATGTGTAACAACATGGGTGGAAGTGGAGGTCAATATGCTATGTGAAATAAGCCAGGCAAGGAAAGAAAAACATTGTATGTTCTCATTTGTGGAGTCTAAAAATCAAAACAATTGAACTCATGAAGATAAAGAGAAGAAAGGTGGTTATCAGAGGCTGGGAAGGGTAGTAGGGGGTCTGGAAGGAATGTGGAGATAGTTAAAGGGTACAAAAAACTAAAAAGAATGAGTAAGACCTGCTATTTTATAACTCAACAGAGTATAGCCAATAATAACTTAATTTTACATTTTAAAATAACTAATAGAATTTAATTGGATTGTTTGTAATACAAACAATAAATGCTTGAGGAAATGGATACCCCATTTTCCAGGATGTGATTATCACACATTCATGCCTGTATCAAAACATCTTAGGTACCCCATAAATATACTGTGTAGCCACAAAAATTCAAAAAAACCCTATACATAGGTACATAACACACACACACACACACACATAAACAACTGTACCTTAAAAAACACTATAAATAAAGTGAAAATATAATGCACAGAATAGGATAAAACATTTGCAAATCATATAACTGATAAGGGGCTAGTATCCAAAATATAATTTAAAAATCTTACAATTCAACAATTAAAGGACAAATAATCTGATTAAAACATGAACAAAAAAATTGAATAAAATGTTCTCCAATTATGATATAAAATGAGTAACAAACACATGAAAAATGTTAAACCTCATTAGTGACTAGGCAAATACAAATTAAAACCACCATGAAATCCTACTTCACATCCACTAGCGTGGATAGAATTTTAAAAATGGAAAACAACGTAAGTGAAAGAAAACAGTCACAAATACCCATTTATTATATAATTCCACTTATATTAAATGTCCAGAATAGATAAATCCATAGAAATAGGAAGCAGATTAGTGTTTGACAGGGGCTGAATGGAAAGGGAGAATAAAGAGTGACTGCCATTGCATACGGAGTTTATATTATGGCTGTTTAAGATATCTGAAAATAAACATAGTGATTTTTTGCACAACTTTGTGAATATACTATAAATCATTATACACTTTGAAAGTCTGAATTTCATATTGTGTAAATTATATCTCAATAAAGGTGTTTTTTTTTTTTTTTTTTTTTTTTTTGAGACAGAGTCTCACTCTGTCGCCAGGCTGGAGTGCAGNTTTTTGAGACAGAGTCTCACTCTGTCGCCAGGCTGGAGTGCAGTGGCACAATCTCGGCTCACTGCAACCTCCACCTCCTGGGTTCAAGCAATTCTCCTGCCTCAGACTCCTGAGTAGCTGGGACTACAGGAGTGCGCCACCACACCCAGCTAATTTTTGTATTTTTAGTAGAGGCGGGGTTTCACCATGTTGGCCAGGATGGTCTTGATCTCTTGACCTTGTGATCTGCCTGCTTTAGCCTCCCAAAGTGCTGGGATTACAGGCTTGAGCCACTGTGCCTGGCCAAAGCTGTTATTAAGAACATGATGATTCTGTGTGAACTTTGATAGAAAATATAATGCATTCAGAGTTTTTTCAAAATTTTCATAAATATTTCTACTTCCTAACCATTTGTAAGTTTCTAATTTTACTCATTTGTTCCAAATAAAATATGTATACACACGCACACAAGCACACATCTCCTAACATATCACACATTGCCAAGGAAAACAAACTCAGCACTTGTGGAAACTTAAATGAAAGTGAGAAGCTTTATCTATACAGAAATTTGGAATATTTTGTCATGAGCAGACGTGGGAAAACCGAGCTTACTTTCTAACTTCTTGTGTTACAAGGTTCCAACAGTGTTAAAGTGGTTGAGTCTGGTAACATAGCTTGCAGCAACAATCATTGGATACTTCAGTATTCATTTAGCTCAAAATGGAAATTTCAATACAATGTCAATCAGCTGGCTTTATGATGTTTCGCGTCCGCACGATTACAAAAGCAAAGGCCTTTATGCTAAAGATACAAGAGTCAGAGGATAGTTTAGAAAGGTAACTTGCAAGAGTTGCAAATAACTAATGTCCAAGTAGCTTAAATATTCACTTCTACTTTTCTGGAGGAACCTGTAATGTTTCCAAAGATCTTGATTGTTGAGCATTATAGAACAAAGACAAAGAATATCAAAAAGTGTCATAAGTACTAATGGCTTATCATTTTCTTTTTCTTTTTATCAGAGGTGAATAGGATGTAGGATATATTATTTTCTTAATAGCTTTACTGAGGAATAATTGTTGT